TCAAAATATGGTGTCATGATGTTTTCTCTTATTTTTGTATTATGAGTGTGTTGGGCGTTTGATGAGGTGAATGAAAAAGGGTATCAATGACTACCCTTTTATACACTGTACATGTTTATCTCTACCGAAATTGTGGGAGGATATTGTTAGTATATAACCAACTGATAAGAATCCCTTAAATAAGGGTAAAAGCTTTTTAAACGTGGTTGCATAACTAATAGAGAAAAATTAGGAGATTTTGATTCCACGTGAATAGCAATTATCTCGAAATGTGATAGCAATTATCTCGAAATCACCCTAAAAATATGCCACGTGAATTTGTATAAAAAATTGCCAAAAATTGCTCACGTGAATATGTATCAAAAATTTGAATTCCACACGTTAAAGACTTGCCAAAATGGGTAAGTCAATATGGTTGACTACGAATTTTTTAAAACTTTCCCAAAATGATTTATTGACCTCTCTTTTTCAATATATATAGATTATGGTAAGTTATTACAATATATATCTCAATGTGTATTCATGTTTATTAAAACAGAACAGATGCACATAAAACTACGTTTTTTTTTTTGTGTGTGATTTAAAATGGGATACAATTATTATGAAATCTGTGATGTCAATTGATTATATTCATTTTATTTCATTATTCGGAATTTTATTTTAATATATAAACTTCCTTGTAGCGAAAATAAAATGTAGTAAAATGTATATTATAATAATCAATATATTGACATAATCGCTGTATAATTAAAATTCGTACTGTAAAATAAAAAAATAATGGGAAATTATCATCATTTTTTTTAATAATCAACCAAATTAGTGATAATGCGGGCATGAGATAGTTTACTACGAAATGTGTAGAGATCCATTCGTATATTGTAGATTAAAAATTAAAATCGAAGAATAATTAAGAAAAATAAATTTATTCATAACATTGCATAGGTAAATATCATCAAATCCGTAACAAATCATTAATTAAAAACTCCAAATATTAAAAAAACCTAAATATCAAAATCTCTTGGTCCTTGCTAGTGATGAGGAAAAAATCCATTATACTTGATTACATCGGTTCTTACATGTAGCACAAGCTTCCATCGGTGCATTCTAGCAAATTTCATCCCATTATTAAATTCAACATTATAGCGGCGTATCACATAAACCTCGCCTTCTTTCAATACATCTCACATCAATCCCAGAGCGTATTATGCCTTTAATGCATGAACTCTACAATAAAAATTGATATAAATTAATTGAATAAAATAATTTTATAATTGTGTATTTTTGATACAATATAAAAAAATATTACCTCTTCATCATGAAACAGGATATGGAAACAGTTCAAGCTCTCATGATCACAGTAAATCGGACTACCCTCAAAAGCAAATTTGGTTTGTTGGACTTGATGACGGAGTTGATTCTATCAAAGAATGGCGACATTTTTTTTTGTGTATATTGGTATTTGTTTGTATTATTTTCTTTGCAATGTTGTGAATGAAGTGATGAAGAAAAGTGGCGTATGAACATCCTTTTATACACGCGACACATCTGCATAACAAACTTAACACGTAAAATATGAAAATCATTTGATAAAATATTAATTTGATTTTGATGAGTTGTAACAAACGCCCTTTAGTAGGAATGTTAGTTGATATTTCAACGTAAATCATGGAATCACAATTTCAAATCTTTGGGTTTTTAAAATATGGAATCAAAATTTTTCAAATTGGTTTGTTAAAGATAGGGGCGTGATCCTTAAAATAAGGAGTAACAATTGGATGCTTAAAGATAGGGCGTGAATCAAAATTCAAATTGCCGTGTTTAAAGAATTGCTATTAATTTTCGGATTTTTAAAAGGCTTTCCATAAATGGGAAGTCAAAGCCTTTTTGACCAATTTTTTTAAACTTTCCATAAATGATTTTTCTACCTCTCTTTTTCAATATATATAGATATATTTATAGATAGATACTAACTTTATAATTAGTAATAGGGTAAATTGCAGTTTTGATACCCAAACTAAAGGTCATTTTGAAATAAATACCCGTTTTGAAACTTGTGCGAAATTAGTACCTAAACTTTTATTCTGTTAGCAACCTTAGTACCCGGCCGTTATATGTCCGTCAAATTCCCGTTAGTTGTTAACGCTCGGGTACTAACGTTGCTAACAAAATGAAAGTTTGGGTACTGCTTTCAAAATAGTCATTACTTTGGGTATCAAAACTGCAATTTACCCTCTTGTTCTTATAAACAGAGGAGGTTGCGCTATTTTGTGGAAAATAAATGGTACAAATGCCTTATATATAGGTTTCATCAGACGCCAAAAAACAGACAAATTCCCTCCATTTTGACCACTTCGTTAAAACTAACGGAAATTTGACATGCATCTAACGGCCGGGTACTAACGTTGCTAACAGAATGAAAGTATGGGTACGAATTTCGCACAAGTTTCAAATTGGGTACTGATTTTAAAATTGTCTTTACTTTGGGTATCAAAATGCAATTTACTCTTAGTAATAAATAACTAAATAATTAACATTGTATCTTTACTCGTTACTAATTTTGATAGATAGAAATCTCAATTGCTATTCACCGCCCCCCTTTTACTAGTCACCGCCCCCCCCC